ATATATAAGGCATCATATTAAGGCTTTGCTTTAGGCCTCGGTTGTTGTTGAGCCACCCCTGGAAGGGGAACCTTGGAGAAAACGGCAAATTTATTTCTATATGACCTATATAGGTCACAAGTTCGAGCCGTTGAAGCAGCAAGCATTAGTAGACTGTCTACATCACATTCCTTGGGGTGCGGCCCTTCCCGTACCCTACTTGAACGCGGGATACTTTGTGTACTGTACTGTCCATTTTATAAGATAACATATTAGCCGATAAGCTCGGGCAAAAACCATTTACAGATTTCTCAAATGGGTTGCCCCAACTCCTCACCTCTCCACCGTTTTGATTCAGTCCGAAAACAATATTAACATAGCGTGATATTACCCATTTTGGGTCCAAACCTGCACTCCAGATCTTATATATGTATCCAATGCATAAGACGTACTATTCGCCATCAGCATACTCGTCTCACCGAATCATCAGCTCTGGCTAATGAGGCGTTGATTCCTTTTGCCCCATTAGTCATTAGAAATTATATATTCGTGGATGTGATCGGAGCTGTCATATTCAATTGAGACTATCAAAAGCTATATCTAAAAGAAGAAAACAAACAACGTGTTGAGAGATAACATTAGTTTTATAGGATGAAATGTTGTTCAATCATTTGGGCACGCAGACCATGTCCAAAAAACTTGCTTCGTCATGAATGACGGCAACTGCAAGCAGTCTTGGCTCTATTATACAGATCATGTTCTTTCATATTTCATGGTTTGCCAACCTAAATAATGCAGAAGACCTCATAATTAATATATTCAAACTTAACAACAACGATAACATACTCAAAGTATTCTCACAAGTACCTCGCGTGAGGTAGAGCGGACATTTCCGATACGACCCACTCCTAAAGAAAAATGTTTTCAAATAATTTTAAAAAATATAAGGGAAAAAGTTATTGACAACAAAATAGTAAAGATAACCACAGTAAAAGAAACAACATTGGTAATAAATCTGAAAAATAAGATAATAATAGAATAATAATAATAATAATACTGATAAACGAGAAGACTGAGCAGATAAGGTGCTCTAAACTAGAACCATATTCTCCCACAGAAAAAAGAGAAATCGCTCGATTACCTATTAACCTTCTATCCTTATCCTCGCATCCATGCTCTCATATCTAGGATCATGTCATTAAAGAGCTGAAGAGGTGTCATCTCCTATCTAATCACCTCTCTCCAATTCTTCCTCATTCTACCTCTACCTCTATCTCTCCTTGGATCTATCATTGCAAAACCTCTCGCACCTCCTCACTAGGGCATATGTGCTCGTCCTCTTCGCAAGCCCGAACTATCTCAACCTCGCTTCCTCCATTTTATCTGCCGCGGAGGCAACTTTCACCTTGTCCCATGTATCTTTGTTCCTAGTTTTATCTTTTTTAATATGCCCATACATCTATCTACGCATCCTTATTTCTGCTATTTTTATCTTCTACAAATGTGAGTTTTGACTGGTCAACATAATTATTACATTCCTAGGCGGAAAAACAAGGGGGACAATTTTCCCACCTTAATGACCTCCCAGGCAGAAAGTCGTAACTTCAAAAGCAGAAGCATTGTTCAGGCCACCATTTTTGCACCAACAAATATCAATGTAATGCATTGACGAAGTCAGAAATTTTGTTAAAGATATTCAAAATTTAATACAGACAATATAGAACATAATATTTGCCCTATATGCATAGTCTACTTTTTCCGGCTAAAGGTGTTCAACCAACTAATGCTGTATTCTGGGCCGGGCCCGGGCCTAAATGGGCCAAATGGGCCGGGCCAAACAGTCCCGGGCTCAGACGGGCTGGTCTTTGGCAGTTCCGGGCCTAACGGTCCCGGGCTTCACGGGCTCAACGGGTGGAACCGGCCCACGACGGGCCTAAGCCCACATGGTCCCGGGCTGAATGGGCCGGGCCCACGGGCCCACACGGGCCTAACGGGCTTTTTCTTTCCGGGCTATTTTTTTTAATTTTTTTTATTTAAGGCAATTTCTTGTAAACCATATATGTATATACTAATATAAATTGCTTATACATGGCTATATAAATATATATAGTATATATAATATGTATAGTATGTATATATAATTATATATTAAAGTTTGCATTTAAAAAGTAAAATAAGAAAACAATAGTAAAACTAAATTATCATGCATAATAAATTAATAACAAAGTAAAACATTAAGCATAAATACGTCTAATAATTTTAAAATAACACAAATTGTCGAAAAATCTTAAATACGAATTTCCGGATGACACTCAAGACAATACTTTATATGCCTCCTTAAACTGCCTGTGCCAGACCTTGAACGAAAATTTAAGACTCCACCGCAGTTCTTGCACTTTAATATTTGACCTTCTTCATTTTCTTCTAGCACCTCAAAGTGTTGACAAACAAATGAGCGCACTCTTTCCGAACGAGGCATGATTTAACTTGAGATTTAAGAATTTGAGATTGAGACTTGAAGTCTTGAAAATTGGAGATTGAGAGAATGAGAGAAATTTAGATTGAGAAATGAGTATTGATGGCCAACGGCTAGATTTTAAAATCTGACCGTTGGTCATTTAAAAAAAAAAAAAAATTAAAATATAGTCGTTGAGGACCGTTTGGCCCGGTTGAACCGACCCAGGCCCGCCTGCCGGTCCCGGGCTCATGGGCTATTTGTGTAGGACCGGCCCGCTACGGGCTTAAGGCACTATTTGGGACCGGTTCCGGCCCACTGAGACCGGCCCGTTAAGCCCATTTGGCCCGCGATCCGGGCCGGTTCCGGGCTGGGCCCGGCCCACAGTACACTCTTAAACCAACCACCCTTGAGCATATGTGACTCTGCTACAAATGGCATAGAATGATGCGCCAGTATAACCACGGAACTCACGCTCATAACAAACACTCATATGCATGCTTAAAAGCTTAATCTTGTTCCTGAGTACAATCTCAAACCTAGAGTACAATCACAAACCTAAAGTACAATTAAAACCTACTTCCTCTGAGATTGCTCGAAAAGCAATTAATGCAACTTTTTATGTATGATTTAGCATGAAAAACTAGCAAAAAACATGGTTTACTACTACAAAGACGAGTTTTAACATGCATTTCACAGTAACAGAACCCTCAGGGTTACATAACTTAGAAACGAAGAGAAAAGTGCAACAACACATAGTAGAGTCTTCTGTTTATTTACATACTGCAGCAACAAGTTATTAAAACTGCAGTGAGAATTCTTGTAAGAATTCTTTTATTCTCAAAAGCAGACTGGAAATAGAATTCAAACATATCTTAAAGTTTTTCAAGTGCTCAGACCATTTCATCATCACTAATCACACTCTCGATGCTTTGCTGCGCTCCTGACTCCAGCATAAATTTACAGATTGGACATGAAGCATTCACTGCGACCCACGGGTTAATGCATCTCCTATGAAACTGACAAAAAATGGGGTTTAGAATTAGAGGAAGTGCCAAGATCAGAACTTGGAAACATTTGCCCTGCTGCTAGGAGACTAGTAGCCCAGTTTTCTCAATCACTGCATTTCTAGTAATTATTCAAGCATCAAAGACAAGGCAATCGTAATTACAGTCAATTCCGTTGAGTTACTCATTCTCAACCAATGACATAGAGCTTTAACTCAGATCAATCTCTACCATAAAGTGATTTAGGAAAATGGAAGTATATCATGTATTTCAGAGGGAAGGAAGAAAAGATCAGATAGAATAGACATAAACCTGATGTAAACATGGCAAGCTACGAACAAGGTCTCCCTTTATAACTTGCTGGAAACAAATATTACATGTCGATTCGTCACATGAGGGATCCTCTGTTATACCTATCCTCCAATATCCCTGCTTCATTTGAAGACAGGAGTATATAAATAATCTTCATTTGAAAGGAGCACACTGAAATTAAGACCAAATCTTATGTTTTAAGCAAGTGAACGAAGGACTTTGAAAAGGCAAGCACATGAAGAAGCATAGGAAAGATTCATCCAATATGATCAGATAGGAGTATATCATGAAGCTAGAAAAATTTATTCTGTTAGAATTCTCATTCACGGGCTGTAAACACATTTATCATGAGATTTTTTAGCTCTTTCCCCCTTCCCCCTCTTGAAACTTAATGAAATTCAGCTGGGGGAGAATTTCTTTTTATGTCACTGCTTCTGGATTCGGATCATTATTCTGCTCAAGAAAATTTATAGTCATCCAACAAAGAGAAGGCAACAAGCAACTGGAAAAAAAAAACGGATAGCTAAGCCAATTGTGGCATAACCCTTGAGCATCTGAAAGAAAGTACCTTAGCTGAGGCTGCACAAAATGAGCCTTGTTCCAGTGGTGCATCCTCACTGCAAGAAAGACCAATATGGAATCGAGTTACAACTGGTCCGTAACCAGTGTTTCACTCTTACCACTAGACCAAATCCCTGGGGGCTAGGTTTGAGGTAAACTATAATAACTATAATGATAGAATGCGGAATTTTGATAGAGTAAATGAAGGAGGATCATTACATTCTAACAATTATGCAATTCAGCATATGAACTAGTATCTTTTCCTTTTTTCTATTTGGATAACGGATAAGTCCCCTGTGAGTTAACTGGCCAAACCATAGTTGGTCCACGGATGTGAAACTCGGGGGAGTATCAGCCCACCCTCTGTCATGTTCCCACTTAAATGCCAAGCTTCCTATTAAAGACATGGGTTTGAACTTGTGACCTGTGCTCAATCCACAGATTCCAAGCTGTGTCCTTATCACTAAGTCGGAATACAAACAGGAGGAATATGACTGTTGTACTTCAACATTATTCGAGTTCATACTTAGTCTCTAAATTTCCATAATTTTAGATTTGATCCTGACTATGTCAAACCAAAATAAGCTTACCATGTAATAACACTTCAACTGGACAACACAATTAAAAGAATCTTTTAACTATGTCTTTTTGCCAATAACTTTTTTACCAAAGGTAAGTATTAGTTTCCATAATCACTTATAGTAACTAGCACTTCCCCACTATTTCCAAGTGACGACAGGCTTGGGACACACACGCAAGTGTTGACATATAATGCAAGTTATTAAGACATCCAAGTGACTAAATATTTTCCTGTGACTCTAGAGTGGTAAAAGTTAAATACCACTTGTGGACTAAACCGTGGTAGACAGAGGATAGGATTCACAAAGGCATGAGGATTCAACAAGGATTAGCCTAGTTCTGAATGAAGCATCTACAGCTAAGGCCAAGGATCAGTCAATGGCAGCAATGCTATGTCTCTGCCTTCACTGAGAAACAGCAACGGGCATGCTGGCCTCAACCAAAGGACCTTGGTCAAAATAGCACCAAGCCATGTAATGCCAGAGAAGACTAAACATCACGTTGTAGTGCCAAACACAGTTGAAAGACAAATTTGCATCCAAGCAATAGCTCTCCATCAATTTCTTTTCCCACCCTTACTTGCTACAAAGAAAATACCAAAAAAATAATGAAGGAAAAGAAAATACAGAATTGCAACTCACTCATCCCATGTCAATACATATTTTCAATATTATCCATTCTGTCACCAGCTAGTTCTGTCGATTTAAATCACAGGCTACCTTCAGTTGTTCAATCGTCATTCTTCAGGTGCACAAGAATGCCAGAAAATCCAATGCATGAACTTAGAATGCTTGTAACTTACCTCTCTAGACCAATGCCTTTGTAATTGTGAACAGGTAAGGCATTTATCTCTTCTTCATTCATGGAAGGAATTCCGAAAACACTAGCAGAAGGCAACTCACTTAAGGTTAAGTTTTCTGCACATGGAAACAACCATATAATAAGAAAAGAGATCATTTTTATTTGCTTGAAAGAATCTTCAAAGGTCAGTCTGTGATACTGATCCCAAGGACATATAGACAGCAAAAGTATTGCTATGAAAAGTTTTAACAGATAGCCATAGCAAACATACCAAACTCAACAAGTTCACGATCTAGAAGAGCAACTTGGAGCCTCAGCTCCTGCAATCTTCTTCTGGTTGGAAAAGCTTCTGATGAAGGCACATAGTGATGGAGTGTATCACAACCAATCAAGCGGTTAACAGATGTACTACTTGTTCTGCCTCGAGCTCGACGTGTAGAACAAATCTCATATATCATAACAAATGCCATAATAATGATTACATGCACAAAAACGCAGCCCTAGACGTGAAAATTAACAACATTACCTCAAAATACTACGCCACCAAGAATGCTTAAAATCAACCAATAGAAATGCTCAAGAATATTCAGCTAAGGTATTAGGACAGAAGTTACCATGAAGACCATTGACGTGTCATCAGCGGGGCTTAAAGTGTATAGGAAAAGAACTGCCAAACAGTTTAATGGATGGCTAATTAATAGACAGAAATTACAGAACAAATTTGCAAAAAAAGAATCGAAAAGATGACGCAGAAACTTTACCAAGGATAGACAGAACGATGCAGCCCGTTTTTGTTGGACTCATAAAAATGTTATGCTGGTAAGAAAAGAAGTTCCAGTATCAGGACAAGGCTAGATTAAGTACTAGTAAGTCTCTCTTGACCTTTATACAAGTATAAAGAACAACTACTCTGGTGTACCGGAAAAGGATCACCATTCTGGAAAACGTGCAAGATAAGAATAATACAAGTAGTACCATAGCCACTAAGGACACACGCAACAAATCTTGCACTCATGGCTGCATGAATTTCACTGCTTGCTTCAAAGTAGACAAATGGCAAACGCATAGAAACATCAACAACAACAACAACATACCAGTGTAATCCCACAAGTGGGGTTTAGGGAGGGTAGCGTGTACGCAGACCTTACTCCTACCTTGTGTGAGGTAGAGAGGTTGTTTCCGATAATCCCTCGGCTCAAAGGAATGCACAGAAATATACCAGTGCTTAATTTAAGATGTCAAAACTATTGTGGAGCTAAAAGGAAGCACTTGACAAAGATGAGTGCAAGTCAAAACAAAGAATACTAAATATTCACCGTCATAACTTCTGGAAGAGATGAATGGTGAGTTGTAATTTTACTAATTCTGAAAATTATGATTACCATTGTCGACATAATACTTGTTGCTTGCTACTGCCCAAAATTGCCAAGATCTGTCGAGGCTCCAGGAAAGCCTTACAATGAGACTCCTCACGTCCTTTAAGAGCGAAGATGTCTGTGGATTCAAAGTACAAGATTGTTAGCCACATTAAGCTCCCTCTCACTACCCCCTTTTCTCAAAAGCAAGCATTATCTTCCCGGCCTCACTTGGTATTTCACAAAAGGTATATCAGATCTTTAAACATAGAGATAAGTAGTAGGCCAGAGTAAAAATAAAATAAGACAGAAGTGACGAGGACCAGAATGACTTCATATTCAAGCACAGAAGTTTAAGAGTTATGCCGTGAACGTTCATTCTCCTCAAATTATGTTAAGTCAATCTCGACATCTGAACTATCTTCTTATAGTTCAAAATAATAAAATCATCTCTTTTAGAACTTAGAAATATGTAATGCAATCTAAAGTGATGAGGATAGAGATGATTCCAGAGGCTCCAACTAAAAGGAAAACTGCTCGAAGGATACCAAATATATATAATCAACTTTTATATAGGAGACTTCAAGCGACTAATTATATACAAAATCTTTGCTTTAGGGTATTTGAATTGTCCACTACGAGGTTCTAACAACTAAATTTAGATCGGTGAACAGAGCAAGGAAACAGTTGATGATTCCTTTTACTTTAAGGATATACTTGGTTAACCATTAAGATATAAGGAATACTCAAATAAATGCTATAATTGATAGGTTTTCTACACAATAAGAAGGGACTAGCTCATAAACATTACAGCTTGGCCTGCTTTAGATATGGTAAATAAGAAGTTCGGTAAAAAGCAAAGGAAGTTCAATTGAAATAATGTGTTTCCTTTTTTCAACATGTATTTCAATCTTCAGTATGGAAGTTTGGACATAAAGAGAATCCAATTAATGGCAAGAGTGTAGGGGGAATGGCCCTTCTAGCCTCGTGCAATGAATTCATCAATAAAAGACCTCTGATTTCACCGAACTTAACGTATTGAGCCCTTCTGTGAGATACTAATAGCACGAAAGAAAACTCTACACAAGAGCTAATTAAGTTTTGTGGATTCTGAATCACCCATCTTCGCCTAGTGCATGGTGACACTCAACATGCTCAAAAAGGTTCTTTTCTGGAAAAAAAAATCCTTGCATGAGGAGGTAGCATGCCACTAGTGAACTACTGAAACTGCCAAATCACAGGTAGGGCAACTAGCAATTTCAAGTATCCCCATGATTTGTTAATGAAGTACAAACATAATCAAATAGAAGAATCAGAAATCACAAGAACCCTTCAGGCATAACATTGGATGATTTACCAATTGTAAGGCAAAATTGAAGAGGAAAAAATGAGAAAGAGGAATGGCAATAAAGGGAATGGAAATCTAGTAAACCTGAAAAGAAAAAGGAAGAGTACCTCCAATGCCAGAAGCCACAAAGAAGTGCAGCATCGAGGAATCCGAACTAAACTATATATATTGATGTTGTCGGTGGTGGTGCACTGTTCTTTTTGTCTGATTCGCTGCTTTAACGTTTCTTTTGCATGAATCCTATCTTCAAGATCACCAATGGCCGACATGTCAGCATTGCTTTTGGAAGTAAAACTGCCACGAAAATTTCCATAAACAATAAGAATATTGAATACATGATTTAGGAAGATAAATTAACTACTCCACAAAACTAATAATATTTTTTTAGAGCATGGAATCCAATGTCTTCCATGGCAAACCATGGCTAATTCAAAAATGCCTGTATTGGCAATTAATAGTGTTTCCGAATATACAAATATTGTATCAAGACATCAATCAATCAATCAACTGTGCTTCAATGCCAAATTAGACGGATTCGGCCATATGTATACTCCATATCCCCATTCTATTCAGATACATTTCATCCCAATTCTAAATAATCACAAATTAACTTATGAATCTAAGTTGTTATAACACTTGTAATCTCTTAAATAAAAGGGATACAGTGACATGTGGAAATACTCGCATGTACAGGAAACAGTATTTTATCCCCTTTTACTAAAAGCCACAAGGAATGTGCTCAAACGAATAAGATAAAAAGTCAACAATAGTTGAAACAGTTATCTCCACTGCCTCAATCTCAATTTAGTTGGGGTCAACTATATGAATACTTTATATCTTCTTTTTTCTATTTTGAAAGTATGAATAATTTATATCCATTCAACTCTATCCAGGTCTATTTCACTCCAATATTAAATAACTAAAAATTAACTTATCAACCTAGTAGACATTTGTCATACTTGCAAGCTCTTCAATAAAAATGATACAAGAACATGATGAATTCCAGCTTGTAAGAGAAATGGTAAAAGCATGCTCGCTCGAATAAGATAAACAGCAGTAGATAAATGTGAAGGTTTATCTCCGCTATCCTCTCTGTGTTCCCTTTTTTCTCCTCAAGAAAATTTGTTATGCAAAGATAAACAATAGACAGAAAGAGAAAGTGGTTACCATATATGCTTGGCAAGAGCGCACAAAGAGCTATCAACATGCAATAATAATTAGTTCATTGACCAGCTTAGCAGACGTGGTGCATCCCTCACTCTTTTTTCAGGCAGATGAGCAATTAATAATAATCAAACAATAAATAGAAGACAAAGTGATTTTTCTTTAAAAAATGTAAAGAGGGGGGAGGACAAGCACGAGGTGTAGTGGGAATCAAACTCAATCAAAACAATCGAGCGAGAATTGATTAGCGTTGAAGGTGATAAAGTAGTTCCTTTGTCCCAAGTTGATATGCTGTTTAATCTTCAATATCTCCAAGACCCTCTTCACTAATGGGATTTCATATTAAAGAAACACTCGAATTTTTAGTTCAAAACCTTGCAAATGTGAATAACTAGAAAAACAACTACCAAGAATATGTTGTTCATTAGGCTTACATTTCAGCAAAGCAGAAATGTTGCCACCCGTCATACTATGGACCAAGGGAAAAATTCACTCTTATATTTCCAAAAAAGGAAACGATGTGTCTACATTAACAATAAGTGCAATTATTGAAACGAAGTTTCATAAAAAGAATTATATCATTCTAGAAAATTTGATTACAATTTAAATAACCATCTCATTGAACTGTAATCAATATTAGATTCAACTAGAAGACGAGACATTGACATCTCATTATTATACATGCTGCTAATCTAAAATCTAAACATTAAATATACATGACCAAGCAACAAATGTGTTAAATTAACAAGTTGAAAATGCATAAACTACCATACCACATTTGAAATTAACATATTAATGTCTCAGAAGTAGAGCCACAATATAAGCAATGGGTAGCACTGCCTTAGGCTCAAACAACATATATGTGTGTAATGATTTAAAGAACATGTTTAGCACCCACTATCCTTTATATAATAGATCCGCCTTTAACTTCCTACAGCCTACTGTCAAGAAAACCAACAGATCGAGAAAATTTTCCTCAATAATTGCTTTCAGCTTTACAATAAATTATTCTGTTTCAATTTTCAAGCAAATGATAAAGGGCAGCCCGGTGCACTAAGCTCCTGCTATGCGCAGGGTCCGGGGAAGGGCCGGACCACAAGGGTCTATTGTACACAGCCTTGCCCTGCATTTATGCAAGAGGCTGTTTCAAGCAAATGATAACCCGGCAAGAAAAGAATTAGGCATCCAAAGCCAGCATGCGTGCAGGGCAAGGCCATAAAATGAAACTGTGTCAATGATAAAGGAAAGTGTGATAATTATTGAAACAAACTCCATAAACGAATGATATCAATCTAGCAAATTTTGATTGTAATTCATATAACCATCTCATCCAACTCTAATCAAAATCGAATTCAACGAGAAGACTAGATATTGACATCTCATCGGACCATTCACGTTCACAATGTAACAATAGATGGCTGGCTGTTTCCACATTTGTTTCACAAAGGAAGATACATGGCCAAGTAACTAAAGTGTTTGAAGTAACAAATTGAAAATGCATAAACTGCTAAACGACATTTGAAATGAACATACAAACGACTCAGTTGTGGAACCAGCATATAAGCAGTAGGTGCACGTGCACCACTACCTCGAGCTCCAATAATGTAAGATAATCCAAAGACAATTTTCATAAAACACATTATATATTAAGTGGTGCATCCACTACTTTCATATACTGGATCAGCCTCTAACATCCCCTAGCTATCTCACAGGTTCCTGATAAGAAAACAAAACTACAAACCAATGTTTTGAAGTAACAAATTGAAAATGCATAAACTGCTCCGCCATATTTGAAATTTAACATACAAACGTCTTGGTATCGGAACCACCATATAAGCACAGCTCCAACAATGCAGATAATTTAAGGACAATTTCTATAAAAACACACCCAACACACTAGCATTGTCCCCATACAAATATAAAGTAGCCTGTCTATTAAGACTTAAAATAGAAAGAAATTACCTAAGCTTTTTGCAGGGATTGGAACATTGATCTTGCATAATTTTGATTTTAGTTTTATCAACAAGACACATCAGTGACGCCAGATAGACTCGAGAGAAATCTGGGACTAACACTTGGAAACCCCAAATCATAAGGGGAAAAAGATTGGATTTTTACAACGATGAGAGCCAAAGCCAAGAGCAGAAATATAATGCAGCAATGGAGCACTGGCGTCGCCATCCTGTTTCCACTCTCCAGCATAATTAGCGAAAAATTGAATTTTGAGTTTCAGTCGGAAAATATCTGGTTACTCCACCAAAACAACCTTTTGTTTTTGAACTTTTGGAGTAATTTGAGTAAAAATTTAGAAAAAACAGTATTTTGAGTTTTTAAATTTTTGAAAATTTTTAAAATGCATGTTCAAGTTAAAATTGAAAACAAATGCTAATTTCAAAAAAAAAGTTAAAAAATTTTGGAGAAAAAGAAAAATTTCTTATGTCCAAACGGGCTCTCTAAGTCTTTATTGTATAACTGATAACAATGTAATCTCTAAAGAAGGTCACCTAGTGGGCACGCACAACTTATCCCTATCTTAAGGTAGATATTGTCTCCAATAGGCACTTGGCTCAATAACAGATGCAAAAAGAAGCACTAGCAACAGGAATCAATAACACCAAGATAGCAAGAAAGTCTAAGCAAAAGAAATAACCGGTAGTAATAGAAATTTAATTATAAGAAAGTATAAGACTAACACTAATACTACCGATATGGATACGAAAAACTCATGTCTGCTCACTAAACTTGTACCTTAATTCTCGACCTCCATACCCTCCTCCATACCCTCCTATCAATGGTTATGTCGTCGGTGTTCTGTGTAGCACATTCTTATCACATAGAACGCTGGATCCAAGACTCTAATTTATTCATTCCGCTCCAATACGATGTGCGATATTCTCGTCAATCTTTCCATTTCCCTGAAGGTTCATTCATTTTAATATGATTTTAAAAAATTAATTTAACAACTTTATTGTTATAATAAGTAAAAATATTGACTTTACTGTTATAATGGGTTAAATTCAATCACTCTAATGTTACAGCAAATAGTTTTTTAACTTTATTGTTATTGTAGGTTAAGTTTAATGACTTTATTGTTATAGTAGATAAAATTCAGTTACTTTAGTGTTACAAAGATTAATTTTGTAAATATATTATTATAAGGATAAGTACAATTACTTTATTGTGACAAAATTAATTTTGTGAAATTATTATTCTAATGTATAAAGTTCAATCTCCATATATGGATAATGTTTAATGATTTTATTGTTATAGTATTAAAATTCAGTTATAGTAGTGTGATATAAATTAATTCTTTGAATTTATTATTATAATGAATATAGTTCAGTCTTTCCAATTTCTCAATGAGCTAGTAGATTTACATGGGGGAAAATACCATATAAAAGCAATTGACAACCTTGACGTTTCTAGAAGCAGAAGCCGAAAACTATTGTTTACTGCATAATATGGGAGTATATCTCCATCTTATGTTTACACATTCATAAGCATATATTGTATACAGGTAAAACCGGGCCCATCCGATTTTACAGATTAATCGAGAACAGAGGGATGGATCAAGGATCGGCCCCGTAGTGTATCAGACCGAGACATGAGGATAAAGTACTGAGGTCTGGATTCGAAGTACTTGTCGAGATTGAGACCAGGAATGATCGAGACCAAACGGGGTAGACATCGAGCAAGACCGAAGATAGCATAATAATGGAAAGGCGAGATATCCGTAACTGGTCGAGGATCATGGCGGAAATCTCGGAACGGATCAAATCAAGAACGATTGTTTAGCTAATCATGGGATTTACTTATGTAATTAGAATTGTACCATAAGTGGAATTCCTCTACTATATAAAGGAGGGTTCTAATCATTTGTAAAGGGATTATTCTCGCATATCAAAGCAATACAATACTCTTCTTCTCTTATACTTTCTTGTTCATCAGTTTATTTCATATTCCATAACTCTATTCTCAGTCGGTTCGAGGGCGACCTAGCTCGAGGGCTGAATTGCATTTCAATACTAGTTTGCTTTACTTTGCTGTTAATTTCTATTATAAATCATCATATTTATCAACTGGTACTAGGTGAAATTGCGTATCCTTAAAACCATTTATACGTTTAATTGTTATCTGATTTTAAGGGTAAACAGTTTAACGCCCACCGTGGGGCCAAGGATAACAGTGATTGCCTGGTACAATTTTCGTAACACACATTATTTTACGCTTGTTCTTTGAAGTATCTTTGATTTCAGGATCAACATGTCAAACTCCCAAGTAACACCTACACACACAGACAACGGCCTTGGTCTTCATGGCGAGAACGAAAACATAGCCGCCCCAAGAAATAGAGTACCTTCAGTTAACCTCGGTGGAGCTCCGGCCGTGGAACCAATCGACGTAAGCTCCCATATTGCCATTAATGGGAATTTGGGCGTCGACCCTGAAAATAGCATCTGCAGAGACGCTCGAACATCCGATCAAAATGCATAAAGCGGTGAAAAAGGCGGAATTAGCCTTCGAATGATACTCGAGATGTTGCAGACTCAACAAGCTGCAATAGCACAACTCCAAAATCAAAATCGTGCACCAAGCAGGATCGAACTCGATCCATCACAAGAAGTTGTTCATAGAGCCGAATCGGTGCCAAAGAGATCAAATGAAAGAGAATCGGAGACTATCCCGCTATCGTAAAAATGCTCAAGGAACTGACGAAACGAACCGAGACAAGGGAAAAGAAGATCGAGGAAAATGATAAGAAGGTGGAAACTTATAAATCCAGGGTCGACCAAATCCCGGGGGCACCACCGGTATTGAAAGGACTTGATTCCAAAAAGTTTGTCCAAAAACCTTTCCCCCCGAGTGTGGCTCCGAAGCTTATCCCAAAGAAGTTACGTATGCCCGAGATCCCAAAGTACAACGGGACAACAGATCCAAATGAACACGTCACCTCATATACGTGCGCCATTAAGGGAAATGACTTGGAAGATGATGAGATTGAATCTGTGTTGCTGAAGCAATTCGGAGAAACTCTATCAAAGGGTGCTATGATATGGTATCATAATTTACCACCTAATTCTATTGATTCACTTGCTATGCTTGCAGATTCCTTTGTAAAGGCGCACGTCGGAGCCATTAAGGTTGCAATAAGAAAGTCGAACCTATTCAAGGTAAGGCAGAGAGATAACGAGATGCTCGGGGAATTGGTATCTCGGTTCCAAACTGAGAGAATGGATTTGCCACCGGTCACCGACGATTGGGCTGTTCAAGCCTTCACTCAAGGTCTCAACAATCGGAGTTCCATAGCTTCACAACAATTGAAGCAGAATTTGATCGAATATCCAGCTGTCACTTGGGCCGATGTACATAATCGATACCAATCAAAGATTAGGGTCGAAGACGATTAACTCGATGCTCCAACCGGTTCGGTTTATCCTAATAGGCCCGTGGACAGGGTTAAAAGGGACTTCAACCGGGAACCACGGTCGAACAGAGACCGATATCAGCCATACGATGGAGATCAAAGAAATAACGGGCCTAGACGTAACCCCGTTCGGAATGATACAAGGAACGATCGTGGACAGAGCTCCCGAAGGCTCATGAGCAAGAGTGGTTTTGATAGGGATGTCGGATCCAAAGAAGCACCTCGATTGTCATAATATAACTTCAGCGTAGATGCTTCCGCCATAGTATCGGCCATTGGGCGTATCAAAGATACCAGGAGGCCTCGACCTCTGCAGATCGACCCGGACCAAAGAAACCCAAACCAAATATACAAGTATCATGGCACCCATGGTCATAAAACAGAAGATTGCAGGCAGCTAAGGGATGAAGTAGCTCGATTATTTAACGAGGGGCATCTTTGAGAATTCTTAAGTGATCGGGCCAAGAACCACTTCAAAAATAGAGATTCGAATAGATAGAACGAGCAGAAAGAGCCACAACATGTGATTCACATGATCGTTGAAGTTGATGTTCCTCAAGGATTGGTATTTAAACGCACCAAGGTGACGATTACAAGGGAAAAACGAACTCGGGACTACTTACCAGAAGAAACCTTGTCTTTCAATGACGAGGATGCAGAAGGGATCGAACAACCTCACAACAACGCACTGGTAATATCTGTCTTTATAAATAAAATTCAAGTTAAACATGTGTTGATTGATCCAGGAAGCTCGGCCAACATTATTCGAGCAAGGGTCGTAGAACAACTGGGCCTTCGAGATCAAATTGTGCCCGCAGCTCGAGTACTTAACGGCTTCAACATGGCAAGCGAAACCACCAAATGTGAAATTATTTTACCAGTAAATGTGGCAGGGACCATCCAAGAAACAAAGTTCCATGTGATCGACAGTGACATGAGGTACAATGCACTGCTCGGAAGGCCTTGGATCCATAACATGAGGGCAGTACCCTCGACCCTTCACCAAGTTCTGAAGTTCCAACATCGGAGGGAATTAAAATAGTGTACAGGGAACAACCTTCCGCCAAGGAGATGTTTGCAATTGACGAAGTGATACCGGTATCGAAACTTTCATCAACAAAGGGATCAGATTCAAAGGGACAGCAGGAAGCCAAATAGCAACCACAGTTACCAGCCTCGACCCAATCAGAGGAGCAGGGAACTTACGAGGATGATGACTATATGATACCTCGAACCTTCATAATCCCCGATGACTCTGACACCGCGAAGTCAACAGTCGAAGAGTTGGAACAAAGCATATTGATCGAGCATCTTCCCAATCGAAAGGTATACCTGGGCACGGGGTTGACTCCCGAGCTCAGGAAAAACTTATTCAATTTCCTAAAGCTAATATGGATTGTTTTGCCTGGTCCCATCTCGATATGACAGGTATCCCACCGGAGATCATCACTCATAAATTAAGCTTGGAGTCGAAGTTCCGCCCTATGAAACAAAAAAGGAGGCCTCAGTCTGAGGTACATGCTTTTATCAAAGATGAGGTAACCAAACTTCTCAAAATAGGATCCATTCAGGAAGTAAAATATCCCGAATGGTTAGAAAATGTAGTAGTAGTCCCTAAGAAGGGAAACAAACATAGAATGTGTGTAGATTATAAAGACCTGAATAAAGCATGCCCCAAGGATTCTTTTCCTTTGCCTAACATCGATCGTATGATCGATGCCACGACTGGCCACGAGACTCTCAACTTTCTCGATACCTACTCCGGATACAACCAAATACAGATGAACCCGGAGGACCAAGAAAAAACCTCGTTTCTCACTAAGTATGGCACTTACTGT